GGCCACTCCGATGATGCCTCGAGGTGGGGCTTGCAATTAAATCAGTATGGCATGGGGACGCCTAGCACTATCATCGAATATATATCTCAATTGGTATCCTGTAGCAGGACCTTGCCGCCCGATGCCGATGCCGTTGAGCCGCCCCGAGCCCGAAGGCTGCAAGCTGGCTTTTTAAAAGCTGTTGCAGCGGCCATCATTGCACTCAAGTAAGAATCGAATGCAGGAGCTGCACCCCGCCCGGCACGGATGCCAGGCTGCTTCTCGACTAGCTCATTGTTTCAACACGATGAATGAATGTTAACATGGTGTGTGCAAGCAGGTGCTGCATCCCCTGGCTCGATGCCTGGACAAGGCGTGTCTCACGACGACTCATCACGTCTAACTCCGTGAAACTTTGCAAGAAAACCTGCCTGAGCAGGATCAGCAAAGGCAGCTAAGGCCACGGCTCCTCAGCCAGGACAGACCAAGGGAATGTGCACAGCCCGGCCAGGATTTTCTCATAATGCTCCTGTATTCTCAGGAGGCAAAGCGAAGGCGGCAGCGGCTAAGGCCACGGCGACTCAGCCAGGACAGACCAAGGGAATGTGCACAGCCCGGCCAGGATTTTCTCATAATGCTCCTGTATTCTCAGGAGGCAAAATCATCGGCAAGCGGAAGGCGAAGAGGCAGCGGCACAAGGAGAACAAGACCGTTAGGAAGACTGCTGCTGGTGGTGAAGGACTGCCAGTGATTTTGCAAGCGCTAGTGCTTCAATCAACCTGATCAACCTTTTCTTTTCCATATTGCCAGGAGGAGAGGACGAGGCGGAGGAAGATGAAGAGAAGGTGGAGCATGCGCCTCCTGAAGAAGGATCGACGGAAGAGTCGAGTAGAGTTTGGGCATGATGATGTGCAAAATTTCATTCCGGAGATATATGCTGGGATTGACTGTGACTGTCAGGAGCTGAGCCAGCAACCTCGAGCAGGCCGGAGGAGGCGAGCAGGCCGGAGGAGCAGGAGGAACTGGAGGAGCCGGCGGCCAAGGCCAAGTCCAAGCCACTTGGACAGTCGGCGCAGCGGCGCCTTGACATCCGTGCTGAGAATAGGAAGTTGAATGCCGAGAACGTGCTCCTGATGGAGACAGTGCTGCAGCACAAGAAGTCGGCAGAGGAGACAGCAGGGAGGCACAGCCAGGAGAAAGCTGATCTCCTCAGGCGGCTCGAGGACAAGGACAAGGAGCTGGCTGAGTACAAGACCCAGCATGCTGCAGCCGTCTGGAAGCTGGAGACCAAGCATGCTACAGTCGTCAAGGACATGGAGACCAAGCATGCTAAAGTCGTCCAGGACATGGAGACCAAGCATGCTGCAAAAGTCGACAAGCTGGAGTCAAAGCATGCAGCAGCTGTCAAGGAGATGAAGGACCAGTTCGCTGTCGACAAGAAGGAGAGGGCAGATGAGGCGGCGCGCAAGTTGCAGTTCGACCGGGGGTTTTATCAACAGCAACTGAATGTGTATGACTTGGAAGCCAAAAAAAAGCTGGACATCGCAAAGGAGGAGACCAACGTCGAGGTAAAAAAAGCTCGGATGGAGACACAGGATAAGAACAACGAATGGAAGATCCGAGCCATGCTTGCAGAGGAGCAGCTGGCCAATTTGCAGCAGCCTTCCCAGCCTTCCTCTGGCAGCAAGAAGAAGGCAAAGCCGTGACAGACCCGCAAAGTCTTAAGCATCATGGCGCTTGGGGTTCATACTAATACTCAGCTTAGCTGATGAAAGCTTAGCGGCTTGCCTTCTTGTTGCGATGGTAGACTAAGAGCTGCTGCCAGGGCCATTGGCAGTGAAGCCAGCGTCAAGCCTGGCTCTGCGTGTGCACCTACCCTCCAGCATAGGCAGTGGGCCAGACACATAATGCACGGTTTCTAATTGCAACTGATATCCGGGCATGTGCCTTCAACATCAAAATATTGCTGCAGCTTGCTGGAAAGCGCTGGGTGGGAGGTAGTACACCGCCTGATATCCTGCATTTCCAGGGCCACGTGCAAAACATATATTTGTCTTATCAGCCAACATTCGTCAGCAGATACTCTTAAATTGTGACATCAGTACTGCACATTCGGCATGAGTCATGAATGAAATTGTGCTAGCGAGCGTTGGTTCAGTTTGCTGTTTTTGGCCATTGCAGGAGTTTCACCGCCACTCAGTGGCATTCGCCCAGCGAGGGCTTTGCAAAAAGAAGTCGGAGTGGATTGATTGCATGCACTCCATGATTTGCTCTTGAAGTTGCAGTGCACCTTGAGTCGAATACACATGTGCCATATTGACTCAGGTCTTCTGAGTGGTCACAATGTCACCAGTGGCAGCAGTCTGAGAAGTTGGCAATCATTCTTATGGGGCACCCCTCCCACCGACATCTTCTGGCGATGCGCAGGTCCATGTAGTGCATCAGCTTTGCCATGCAGCAGGCAGGGTGTTAGCAGCAAGCTTAGCTTTGGCTGCATTGGTCTTAAGTGAACTGCTGAATTATGTTGTGGCAGGTATCACGACGATTCGACGACGATATTGTCTGGCCTGGAGCTCAACACTGGGATGTCATGACACATGGCAAAGGTATTGTAGTGCTTGTGGCCATCTAATCTAAGTCAGCTGGAATTACTTGGTCAGATAATTATTGTGTGTATGCCACTGTGCGAAGGAAGGGGTACACTGATGATTGCTCGTTGCATCCGGGATCGTTGCAGTAGTTAGGCCTGGGGTTCGAGCATTCAAGATTCGGCGCACACAACTGATTATTCTGGGCATTGTGTGGCTAACACGACACGAGCTGGGCTGATCTGATCTTGACAGGAGATCCTTTTAAAGGATTACATTTACAAGAGGCCGCTGAGTTGTCACCTTTCAGAACAGAAGTTTGCATCTACTCAATTTCTTTGGAGGTGCACTGCGAGGAAGCAGTTGGGTATGTCATGGCCCTGGTATCCTGAAACCTTCCCGCAATGTACTGTAATGAAATGCTGCTGTGCATCTCTGGCTGAGGCAGAACAAAAGCCAGGATGACATTCATTGCATTTGATTCAATGCCAGAAGCTTGAAGGGTTTTGATTGAGTCACTGAGTGAAGGTTGCAGCTGCGAGGCATGACCCATTGCTCCTGTGTGCACTACGGGACGGTACATATATATCCAGGATGCAGGGACAGCTGCTTTCATTAGTCTGATATATAGCCAGACACCACAGGGATAGTTACCATAAACAACAGGAGAATTTGTCTATAATTATTTCGCAATATGACTACGTATCCCAGAAAGAATATATAGACTCTGGTGAATCCAGGAAATGGTGGTGGTTCGGCTTGTTCTAGATTTTTCAGGTCATGGCGGCTCAGAGCCGTTCGTGGCGGGCTAGTGCCTCAGTGCAGGTGCTTCTTCATAGCAAGACACGTATGGATCAGAATCAGCCTTATGCCAGTTCCGTTGCTGAATACAACAGTGGACTGTTGCATGCAGCCTTTGATTGCAAGTGATTTGCCGATTGCCTTTGCGCTCTCGTTGTCCCAGCTGTGTGCCATGACGACCTTCTACGTGGCAAGCCACTGCAGGGTCTCCCTCGCCGGGGAGTGCGTGAAGTTGTGGTCGTCGCTGGCGGAGGCGATTACGTACGTCCACCGGTTCCATGCACGGAAGCAACTCAGCTGCAGGTAGCCTGGCATACGCAAGTGCAGCAGCGAAGCGTTCTAAATTTTACAGTGAGTCAAGGATTGGGTACAAGCTGAGTACCAGCCCAGAGCCGCCCAAAAGCGTTCAGTACCGCCGGCCGCATATGGAGCTAGCAAGAAGGATTTTGAGCGAAGCCCACCAGACATTTTGGCTCCTCGAAGTCACTATTACTGACGTTCAGAAGATGTACGGGTTGGGATTGCTCAAGCGCAGCAAAGACAATCAGACATGGATCTATGATGTGCCAACGACCCCTCCGCCGCCTGACTTGGTGACCATGTTGCATTATGACGTGAAGGTCGTGCTGCATCTTGGGCAAATGGAGCCTGTTGCTTTGGAGAAGAGTTGGCGGTTCTTCATGTTCTCTGATCCGGCGACAGCCACTGCAGCAATGGATCTGGCAATCGAGAATGCTTTCCTCAAGAAGAAGGGCAATGTTGAATCTGTTGGCAGCCTCTTTGTTGCCGATGTCAAGGCTTTGGTCCTTCTGGGCTTCATTTCATCCCGTGGTGCAAAGATGGAGTCTCTTGGCGGCCTGCTTCCATTGCCTTCTCAGATTTGAGGTTTTAGGGGGCCTCTTTAGTCTTTCCGGAATAATCAGGTTTCCGATCTCAGTCTTCATGGCGAG